GACTCGGAACTAAATTTGAGTGGCATACATCGACCGTATGGTTGCCGTACGGATCCCGCTTGTACTAGCGCCTCGCTAGTAATAGAGGAGGCGGGAAGCTGTTGAAAGCTGTTCGTAGAGTCTTCATTAGGGCCTAAGTGCGACAAGCGTCGACATTTGACCGCAGTCCCTCGCCGACGAGTCGCACCAACAGCACGTAGCAGCTCAGCGGGACGAAAACAGTTAAAGCCAAGCAAGACAACAGCAGAACCCAGGAAGAAGGTAGGTGGTGAATTGTCACCGGACAGATGCCTTGTCACCCTTATATGTTTTTTTTTAGTGCTGTAACGAGCGCTTCTTTGGGCTGTGTGCGACTCGGAACTAAATTTGAGTGGCATACATCGACCGTATGGTTGCCGTACGGATCCCGCTTGTACTAGCGCCGCGCTACTAATAGAGGAGGCGGGAGGCTGTTGAATGCTGTTCGTAGAGTCTTCATTAGGGCAGTGCGACAAGCGTCGACATTTGACCGCAGTCCTCGCCCACGAGTCGCACCAACAGCACGTAGAAGCTCAGCGGGACGAAAAAGGTTAGAGCCAAGCAAGATACCAAAAAAAGCCAGGAAGAGCAGCGCCTTCGAATCGGATACCATGGCGGCAGGAAACAAATCGTGATGGCGGTAGGATCGCATCATTCGCATCATCACGATCATGATCATGAGCGCCGCATCATTTTCCATCCCGAAATTCGAATCCCGCCACCGAGTCCCCGCACCGAGTTTCATCGCTCTACGCGTTATCTATCATTCATTATACACTACGTATCTGCCTACGGCCATCGTCTATATTCCATGCCACGCCATGCCGGTGAAACCCAATTGCAATCTCCTTCTCCCTCTTTCTGCCTCTCGTCCCCGGCCGCCTTCTCCAGACAGTATGCGCCTCCGTCCCGCCTCCATATGCGTAGCAAGAAAGAAAGAATGGTGTGGGATATGATATGATATGCCAGTTATGTGTGGTGTGGTGTGGGCCCAAAAGACGTGACACGCGTGAAGGAAGGAGGAGGAAATAAAGTACGAGGAACGGAAAAGTATTAGCGCCGCAAAACCAAAACCAAGACAAACGAGTGCAGTAGAAGCCAAGAAACGAGGCGAGGAGTACGATACGATACGATACGATAAGTAGAAAGCCGGAAAACCAAAAGCAAAAGAACGTGTCCAAGAAGGATTATTGATATCGGTAGGTGCGGCAGGAAGGCAGGCAAGGCGATTTTGGGCACACATGGCCGGGCGCTCGTTTCGTGTCGTTCGCGCGTCGTATACGACAGCACCCCCGCACCTAACACTTCTCCCACATCTTCACCGAGTCGCTGCATCGCCCGTCAGCATGATCCGCCAATGATTACAGAAGAAAGGGGAGGGGAAAGCACGCACATGACCATCGCGCGGCTCGCGGGGTCCTGCGGCCACGTCGAGTACCACTGGTCCTGCGCCTGCAAGAAGTCGCGCGGGGCCGCTAGGCGCGCGTCAGCATTCGGCTTTTATAAGTATAAGATAGGAGGAGCAGGGCACTCACTCGCCGACCCATCGAGCCACGGCTTCTCCGGCCCGTCGGGGAACCACCCGTTCGTGCCCCCCACCGCGACATTCATGATCAGGTAGAACGCTGCAATCCCACATCGTCGTCAGCAAATAAACATACAAAGACAGTAACGAAGAGGGAAGGGGGACGCACGCTGATCGAACGGCGCGGCCTGCGTCCCGTTCACCCAGGGATTCTGCAGCACGACGCTCTCGGTCCCGTTCTGCACGACGGGCGGGAAGTCGCCGCGCGTCCAGAAGGGCTCGTTGAGCTTGAGCTCGAGCATGTGCGTCAGCCGCGAGTCGACGTACATCCGGCTGTGGGGGGTGGGTGGGTTAGCGGTCGTGTCGGATAAGGGCGGAGGGGGGGGAGGGGGAGGGGTGTGATGGACGACGGAGGACGGGTATGGGCGGGGTACGCCCAGTGGAAGGGCAAGTGTACCATGGAAGAGCAGGACGAGGCGAGCAGGACGGAAGACATCAAAACAACGCACATAAACTCCTCGCTCCACTCGAGCGCATAAGTATGGAAATCGTCGTCGTACCGGCCCCGCCGCTCCGTCTTCCACCCGTACGTCTTCGCGACCGCGTTGAGGAACGTCGCCGGGCCCCAGTTGAGCGACGAGCGCACGTAGTTGACGCCCCTGGGTGCGTGCGTTAGCGCTCGGTAAAGATAAAGGTAGAGGAAGGGGAGACGCACTGCTTCGGATAGCTCGGCCCGTTCCCGCGCGCCTCCATGATGTCGATCTCGCCTGCAGGGCGCGTCAGTACGTGCGGTGCGAAACGGCTCGCGGCAGCCTGGTGCAGCTCGAGTATAAGACAAGAGAGGGAAAGACGCACCGCTCAACGGCCACCCGCCGTACGTCTCGTCCACGGGCAGCATCCAGATCGCGGGCCACAGCCAGTCGCCCGTCGGCAGCTTCGCGACGACCTCGACGCGGCCGAATCTGCGGGGGGGCGTCAGCGGGCGTTGTTACAGCGGGTTATTAGAGGGGGAGGTGACACATGGACGGAGGAGACGAATGGACAGAGGGGGACGAAGAAGGGGGGAGGAAGAAGGAGGAAGAAAAAAAACGCACTTCAAGCTCGCGCTCCGCCGCGTGCTAATCCGCGCGCTCATCACGGGCGGGAGGATGCGGCCCTGCGTCGCGTTCGAGACGGCGGAGCAGGCGGCGAGGTACGCGGCGAGGTCGAGCGGCGCGTCGGGGGCTGCGAGCATCGGCGCGTCAGCAAGGCGATAACATGCAAGGCACGACAAAAGCGGAAAAACGCACCGATCCCCGCGCCGTCCGCGCCCGCGCCCTCCGTGGTGTTCACGCCCGCGCTCCCGTGCCCGCTCGTCGTGTACCCGCTCGCGTGCGTGATGTTGTACGTGCAGCCGGTGAGGTTGTAGACCGCGCCGTCTGGGGGGGCGTCAGTATCAGTGTACGGACGAGACAGGAAGCAGGACGCGAGAAACGCACCCATGATCTCGGCCAGGGGGATGACGTCGCTCGTGAGCGTCGGGAGGAGGTAGAGCCGGCCGTCGCGCACGAACGCGTTCGCCTCGGACGCGGTCGTCATTTCGAATTCGCCGTTCCTGCGGGGGGCGTTAGTGCGCGGAAGTCGAAAGAGTGCAGGGATGGAAAGCGGATGGGAGGAGGGCAGAGACGCGACGCCTCCACATGACGGAGGGAAGGAACCGCCAAGCAAGAAAAACGCAGAAAAGGAAGGACGACGCACCCAAAGCCACTTGCGTCCACTTCGCGGAAGAACACGCCGCCGGGACCGTCGCCGAAGAGCGTCGCTGTGTCCGTGTTGCTAAAGTCCTCGAGCAGCACCGGGCACAGGTTGCCCTGCAAGATGAGGACCGACGCCCAGCCGAAGTAGATGCGCGCGGCGCCCGCCGCGATGCCTGCGTTAAACCAATCAGCATGAATCTCGAGCAAAAGGGAGGAGGGGAAACGCACCCAACAAAACCGTCCCATACGTGATCCAATACGCGAGCCTTGCATGCGGGTCGCGCTGGCCGACCCACGGCTTCTCGAGCGTGCCCTTGAGCGTCGGGCGCGCGCTCTTGCGCTCGCCGACGGGCAGCGGCGGCGCCGGGACGAGCAGCGCGGTGCTCTTGGGGCGCTCGCGGCGGTGGAGCCCCGGGGAGCCGGGGGCCGCGGCGTAGATGGTCATCGGGCGCGCGGGCGGGGACGCGAAGGCCTCGCGCCTGCCGCGGGGGTGCCGGGGGTCGACGCGGGAAGGCCGGGGCGGAGGGCGAGGAGGGCGGCTGGAGGGAGCCGGCGGTGGCGGGGCGCGAGGCGGCGCCGCCGAGGGAGTAGGAGGAGAAGGCGCGCGGGACGTCGACGATCGAGTTGGCGCGGGTGCTGTCGGGCGAGGGGAACGGGTAGCCGGCGGCGCCGCCGAAGGCCATGCCGGGCGAGTCGGCGCCGCCGGAGGAGAAGGAGCGCACGCTGGGCGGCGGCGAGAACGGGTTCACGCCGTTTGGGGCGGGGTGGGCGGCGCCGGGGTCGGCGTAAGGAACGACAGGCTGCGCGGCGAGACGGGCTGCGACGCGGGCTGCGTCGGGCTGGGCGGCTCAGAGTCGGGATTGCCGTTGTTGGAGGCGAAGGGCGCGAGCGGCGGGAGGGCCCGAACGACAGCGGCGCGGGGCGGGAGGACGACATCTGATAATTTAGAGGCACTTGTTTCTTGCCTTTTTAACTTGAGCGAGTCAGCGTTTCTTGCTCGCGCACGTCCAAGTCCAAGTCCAAGTCAAACTCCAACCGCCTGTGCCTATCTATAAGAGCAGATCGTACAAGAACCGATCGAGATCCAGGGAAGGCGGCGCACGGCCTGCCATCTATCCTTCCGTCCTTCCAATCCGCCTGTCCGCCTCACCCTCGCCCCTACTCGGCCTCCGCGCGACAGACAGCCCGTGCCTATCAAGGCCCCACGCCATGTCTGCCGTCTGCGCTGTTGCAATCGGCGAATCTGCCTTACGGCTGAATGCAGCACCGGTTTCGTGCAGGATGAAAGACAAGAGGATGGCACTTTCTGATTTGATGCAGATTCGCGATACGATAGACGGGAGATCGGCGAAGATCTCAGCGCGAGGGGAATCCTGGGATTCTGTGATTCGCGACGCTGATTGCGGAGCGAGCACCGGAGTAACGAGTTCATTACAATTGATTTACTACTTTAGCCGAGGCATAACGCCGTCTGGCCCCAACTCCATCGGGCACGAACATCTTCTGCATTCAAGGCGGTGCATCGGAAAGCAAGGGAAATACGCCCCTGAAGGACCCAGCCCGGATCCGAACCGGGGACTCCTGCTATTGCGGCAAGATATTGTTAAAGTAAGAGAAGAGGTGTGATCCATCCACCACTGGGTCTTCTTCCGACCTCTTGGCACCTCGTTATAGCCTCAATGTCTGGTGAGCAAAAGAGATAAAAAGAACGTTAATGATCATGACCCAGCCCGGAATCGAACCGGGGGCTCCTGCCATTGTACGCAATAGTCACTGGTAAAGGAAAGCAGGTATGATCCATCCACCACTGGGTCTTGTTTGTGGTGTTCTGTCCCTCAATATATCCTGCATATACATATTCGGCAGGGGTATTCAAAAGGTTGAGGCAACGAACCGCACAATGGGGAAACAAACTTAGTAGACTGGGTCTTATTCCTCCTGTTTCGAAGCTGTATTTACCAGAGATATATTTGGCAGAGCGACAATAAAAAATGCGATGAGGACACATCCATGACCCAGCCCGGAATCGAACCGGGAGCTCCTAGCTTACATGCACAAGGAGAGCAGGTATGATCCATTCACCATGGAGTCTTATTCCCTCCTCCTTTAACCACTTTATACCCTTACATATTTGCAAAGCAATGGGAAAAAAGGACTTGATAGAATAAGCATGACCTAGCCCGGACTTGAGCTTGAACCAGGGAACTCCTGCCTTGCCGTCTCTCTTGCTACCTTACGAAGAACAGGTATGCTCCATTCACCACTGGGTCTTATTCCCTCCTCCTTTAACCACTTTATACCCTTACATATTTGCAGAGCAATGGGGAAAAAGGGCGAAAAGATGGTGCATGACCCAGCCCGGATTTGAACAAGGAATCCTGCCTTACTTTTACCATGACTAAAGATGAGCAACGATGATCCATTACCACCGGGTCTTATTCTCTCTCCTTGAACCCGCTTATACCACCGTGTTTGCAGAGCAAAGAGGGCAAAAAGAAAAGGAGAGAGTACTTACAACCCAGCCCGGAATCGAACCGGGGACACCTGCTTTACTGTGCCGAAGCTGCTAAGAGGAGCAGGCATGATCCATCCACCACCAGGTCTTATTCTCTCCTTCTTTAGCCTCCTTATACCCTGCATATATTCTGCAGAGCGAAAATAAAGAGGACGATACACATTCATGACCCAGCCCAGAGTCGAACCGGGGTCTCCTGCTTTCAAGCCCAGGGCAACCAGTCAAGAATAGCAAGTATGATCTATTCACCACCAGGTCTTATTCTCTCCTCCTTCAACCCGCTTATACCGCCGTATTTGCAGAGCAAAGAGGGCAAAAAGAAAAGGAGAGAATCCTTACGACCCAACCCGGAATCGAACCGGGGACACCTGCTTTAACTGTGGCGAACCCGTGAAGAGGGGCAGGCATGATCTATCCACCACTGGGTCTTATTCCCTCCTCCTTTAACCACTTTATACCCTTACATATTTGCAGAACAATGGGGGAAAAAAGGGCGAAAAGGTGGTGCATAACCCAGCTCGGAATTGAACCGGGGACTCCTGCCTTATATGAGGAAGAGGTGGTATGATCCATTCACCACCGGGTCTCATCCCTTCTCCTTCAACCTGCTTATACCCCGGGGCCCGCATATATTCTGCAGAGGGACAATAAAAAGCGATGTAGCAAATATCCGTGACCCAGCCCAGAGTTGAACTGGGGTCTCCTGCTTTCAAGCCCAGGGCAACCAGTCAAGAATAGCAAGTATGATCCATTCACCACCAGGTCTTATTCTCTCCTCCTTCAACCTACTTATACCCCATATTTGCAGAGCAATTGGGGGAAAAAGATTGAGGAAATAAGTGAAAGCGAATATCCCAGCCCGGAATCGAACCGGGGACTCCTGCCATTGTATGCAATAATCACCCACCAAAGAGAGCAGGTATGATCCATTCACCACTGGGTCTTATTCCTCCTGTGTTGAACCTGAATTCATGTGAATAGCTTCCATACACTGCATACATACTGTTGGCAGAGAAAAAAACACAATCAAGGATCCCATGACCCAGCCCAGAGTCGAACCGGGGTCTGCTGCTTTCAAGCCCAGGGCAACCGGTAAAGAATAGCAAGTATGATCCATTCACCACTGGGTCTTATTCTCTCCCCTTCAACCCGCTTATACCACCGTATTTGCAGAGCAATGGGAAAAAAAGAGTTGACAGATGCTAGGACCCAGCCCGGAGTTGAACCGGGGACACCTGCTTTACTGTGCCGAAGCTGCTAAGAGGAGCAGACATGATCCATCCACCACTGGGTCTCATTCCTCCAGTTTAAAAGCTGAATTTATATGAGGATGTTGACTGAATTCATGCAGAGAACTGGGTAAGAAAAATGTGATTTTCGTGGACAACGACCCAACCCGGATTTGAACCGAGGACTCCTGCCTTACTTTACCATGATGTAAAGATGAGCAAGTATGATCCATTCGCCACCGGGCCTCATTCTCTGCTCCCTCGATCTGCTTATACCCCATAGTTGCAGAGTAATTGGGGAAAAAAGGTTGAGCAAACGAATCCTATGACCCAGCCCGGAATCGAACCGGGGACTCCTGCCTTACTGTTTGAACAATGACATAAGGACAGCAGGTATGATCCATGCACCACTGGGTCTTATTCCTCCTTCCCTCACTCTCCTTATAACCCATATTTGCGGAGCAATTGAAAAAGATTTCAGAGGAAGGCTCCAACGACCCAGCCCGGACTTGAACCAGGACTCCTGCTTTACAATGTGCGACGACTGCAAACTACATGGAGCAGGTATGATCCATTCACCACCGGGTCTTATTCTCTCCTCCTTCTGCCTCCTTATACCATCCATATATTCTGCAGAGAAATTGAAAAAGTTTTGGCAATGAAGCACACAATGGGAAAACAAAATTAGCAGACATGGGTTCTTATTCCTCCTGATTCGAAGCTGTATTTACCAGGGATATATTCTGCAGAGCACGAATAAAAACGACTTCGAGATAATAAAACATGACCCAGCCCAGAGTCGAACCGGGGACTGCTGCTTTACTCCTCCTTGTCTCTCATCCTTGCACCTCCTTATACCCCTCATATTTGCAGAGCAATGGGGGGGGAAAAAGGATTCTCACTCCCCATAGGACCCAGCCCGGAATTGAACTGGGGACTCCTGCTTTACTTCTCCTTCAGAGCAGGCATGATCCATTCACCATTGGGTCTTATTCCTCCCTCTTTCAATGTCCTTACACCCTGCATATATTCGGCAGATGAATCGAAAAAGAGTAGGAGATGAGTGACGAGTCTTAATGACCGATCCCCAGCCCGGTCAGACTGGGGACTCCTATCTTACTCCAAACTCAATAAGATGAAGAAAGCAGGTAGGATCCATTCACCATGAAATCTTATTTCTCCAGTTCAAACTTACAGCCACTTGCGGAACTTAGGGTGCGGCTGATTTTACTTCTGTTTTGAGCTGTTTTTGATTATTTTGACCAAATCCATTGCCCTGGGCTCAATTCTTTGTGTATCCACATACATTATATATGGGCGGATTTGCGCTGAAATTTCGCAGGGGGTGTGGTGCTCCGATCTTGTATATTATCATTTTAAAAAATGCAGTATATGATTTCGTAGTTTTTGATCAGATCCACTCTCGTATGGGGAGACAACCTTCAAATCAGCTATATTATCATTCAATAATACCTATGGGCTGTACGAAGGGGACCTCATTGTCCGAATGTGATTCCTGGATCTTGGACACATAAGCAATGCTGTTGAATCCGAACATTTCCAGTTTTGGGACTTGTTGCTCAGGACGGCTGCCCGCTGCTGCTCTTTGCCAAAGTGGGTGAAGGGCATGCACCTGTGCTCACTAAATCATACCCCGGAGGGTTCTTGCAGTTCACATTTGTTCTATGGGACTCCGTTCGGCGAGGCGACGCGCCCCCAATATGGCAGTTACGAGTGACCTCACATACACGTGACTGATCACCTATATTGGGGGCATGTCGCGCCGTCGGACGGAGGTGCACAGAAGAAATATGAGTTGTGAGAACCCTCTGGGGTATTGACTAGTGAGCGCAGGTATGTGCATTTTATGCACTGTGGCAGAGAGTGGCAGCAGGCGGCAGTCCTGAGCAATAAGTTCCAAAACAGTAAATGTTCAGATTCAACTGCATTGCTTATGCGACCGAAGTCCAGGAATCACATTCGGACAATGAGGTCCTCTTCGTACAGTTCATCGGTATCATTGAATGAGCAATAAGTGATTTGAAACTCGTCTCCCCATACAAGAGTGGATCTGAGCAAAAGCTATGAAATCATATACTGCATTTTTTAAAATGATAATATACAAAATCGGAGCACCACAGCCCCTGCAGAATTTCAGCGCAAATCCGCCCATATATAATTTATGTGGATACACAAAGAATTGAGCCCAGGGCGATGGATTTGGTCAAAATAATCAAAAACAGCTCAAAACAGAAGTAAAATCAGCTGCGCCCTAAGTTCCGCAAGTGGCTGTAAAGCTGGATTTATGCGAGAGCTTTTCTAATTTTTTCGTTGCAGTGAGTGACCCATGAAGGCTGCGAGAATGGCATGGAAAGTATTTCTGAAAATGTTGCCCCCTGATCCACTGATTAACCAGCGCCACAGTGCCGAAGGTCAGCGTCCCTGCGGCGTGTGTTTTCCCTACTCGCTTGCCACCGACTGCACGGTGTTAATCCCTGCACTGTTACAGCCAGTTGCGGAACTTAGAGCACGGCCAAATTTTCTTCTATTTTAAGCTGTTTTTGATGGTTTTGACCAAATCCATCGCCCTGAGCTCAATCCTTTATGTATCTACATAAATTTTATACGGGCAGATTCGCGCTTCAATTCCGCAGGGGGTGTGGCGCTCCGATTTCCGTTATTATTATTTTTAAGAATGCAGTATGTGATTTCGTGGTTTTTGCTCAGATCCACTCCTGCATGAGGAGAACACCCTGAAGCAAGCTATATAGTGTTTTTAGAGGACTTCCCAACTATACGAAGGGGACATCGTCGGCGGAATCTGTTTATCGCACCTCATCCGCGCGGATGATGTGATTCAAACTAGAATTTTGCAAATTTATTGTGTCTTGCTTGAGACCACTGCCCGCTGTTGCTCTCTGCCCCAGTGTGTGAAGCGCACGTGTCAACACCCACTAATCTATATCCCTAAGACATTCTATGACTCACATTTGCTCTATCGGCATCCATTCGGCGACGCGACGCGCCCCCAATATGAACGATCAGTCACATGCATGTGGAGTCACCCGTAACACTGTCATATTGGGGGCACGTCGCGTCACCGAATGGATGCCGATAGAACAAATGTGAACCATAGAAAATCTCGGGGGTACTATGTAATGAGGTCAGATGTGTACCTTCCGCGTCCTGAGTCAGAGAGCAGCAGCAGGCAGCGGTCCCAAGCAGGATGTACTAAATTTGCGAAATTCTACTTTGAATCATATCATCCGCACATATGAGGTGCGATAAACAAATTTTGCCGACGAGGTCCTCTTTGTATAGTTGGGAAGTCCTCTCAAAACACTATATAGCTTGCTTCAGGGTGTTCTCCTCATGCAGGAGTAGATCTGAGCAAAAACCACGAAATCACATACTGCATTCTTAAAAATAATAATAAAGGAAATCGGAGCGCCACACCCCCTGCGGAATTGAAGCGCGAATCTGCCCGTATAGAATTTATGTAGATATATAAAGGATTGAGCTCAGGGCGATGGTTTTGGTCAAAACCATCAAAAACAGCTTAAAATGGAAGAAAATTTGGCCGCGCCCTAAGTTCCGCAACTGGCTGTAAAACAGGCTGAAACAAAGATGCGATGAGCAAAATGAAGGATACAACACAGGCCACAGTAAGAGACATTGTTGAGAGTCACATCCATATGGACCGGATCCCCCAGACTTTTAACCCTGAGCATTTGTTCAGTGATTCGCGTCGCAGCAGATCACAGTGGGTCGCCCCTGGGCCACGATCGCCGTCTTCGGCCGGTGTTTGCATTTGGGCGTACAGCCGAGGAGGCCTGAGCGCGACACGAGTCGTAGTCACATGAAGTGGATTCGTTCGTCCTCCCTAGTCCTCCCTGCGCCGAGCAAGCACCCAGTAGCACCTAATGGATATCGCAGCAAGACAGTTATTATATGCGCAGGTTTGTAGAATTCTAACTTGCGCTTGCAGCCGACTCCACCAAGGTTCTGAAGACACAAAACCACGATCCTTCAGAACCACGATCCTTGATCAAATAACCTGCTTATCAATCCCGATTTCGAAGGAGTTTGAAAGATTATTGAGACCTTAAAAATATACTGGAAATCCACTGAAGTGAAAAACATGTTCTTTTGTCAGCTTTTAGGCCGTTGCGCGACGAGGGATGAGTATAGCTAGTTTATTGCTTAAAGACAGAACACCTTTTTAAAAACAATTGTTTGAACGCGTCAGTCAAACGACACTCCATACTTTCCCTCAGTTCATCCCAATCAGGATTATTGGTCGCGATGCCTCGTACTCCACCGGCGTACGTCCCGTTCGCAACCAGTTTGAAGCTCGGGATCCTCGTGTCGGCCGTGCCGTTCCCCAGTGCCCACAAACTGAGGACGACAGTGTTCTCGCCGTGATAATCCAGAACACCCTCATGTACCGGGAACGCGCTCTGCGGCCCGATATTCGCGATGCGCTTGCCCATTTGCCAGCCGTTCACGTAGAGTTGGCCTGTGCGAGCAAGTACGTTACAGGATCGAGCAAGCAGATACTCGAGGACGGGACGTACTGCGGTAGTGGCCGACCGCGGAATCGAAGACGAACGACAGCGGAATGTCATATCCCTGTGGGAGGTCCAACGTGAACGTGGTTCGGAAGAACCCGACCTAGAAACCAGTTATTAATGAGCCGCTAGTTCTGATTGATTAATGGACCTACCCCAGGCTGCCCGAGCCCTTCGAAGGGTGTTCTTTCCTCCCAGGCCGAATCATCGAATCCCGGCAAGTGCCAGCCTTTTCGCTGTCCAGTTTTCATCAGCTTCCCGTGATAAGGACGATAAAGGAATGGAAACCTCGCCGTAAAGACCACCTTCGTTGTAAATTTTCCTCACAGTGTCAGGGTGGCGCTCGCCCATGAAATTACCGGCCAACGTCCAACCAGTGAATTGTGCGCTGGCATCTCGGCCGACGAGATAATACCCCTGATCATTTATTAGCATTTAATATACAAGAGCACGCGGTCTATCATACCTGTAGTCCCCTCGGTTGTTGGAGGTCTCTCGCCCGCCCTCCAGGCGTGCAACATACATCCTGGCCTGAGAGGTCTCCGCCCATATGATCTTGCAGCACGACAACGTGATTCTCGCCTGTAAGCAAGAGATCCTCCGTCACGGGGAAAGAATTGTTATTCGTCCGGCCTCGTGTATCCGACGGGCCGAGGTAGTGCGTATTCAGCCACACCGATGCGGCAAAGTTCAGTGCCCCGAGGCCGAGACGTTTACCGCGGTGGGCGCTGTGGTGTTGGAATCGTGCAGGAAGGTTCCTCGCCATACCAGGTTCCCGGCCTGCGCGGCTACCATTTAGCGATCCCGGTATTGTAAAGAGCAACTGGACGTACGTGGAACCCGTATTGGTCTGCATATAAGATCCATGGCGCGCCGTAGTACGGTGGGAAAACACTTGTAGTTGTCATTTGATTAGCTGGGATCATGGCAAACCCATCGAAGTCGGGCTGGATCTCAGGCAGGGAATCACGGAAACGCCATGTTGCGCTTCCAAGATCGGGTAAAGTAACCGCAGGC